GGCAACGCGGGTCACGACGAGGTCGAGGAGGCCGATGACGGCGACGAGAGCGACGACGGGGACGATCCTGAACTGTGCACGGACGTCGTCAGCCTCTTCGATCTCATCGAAGCCCGCATGTTCAAGGACTCCGACCCCGACCCTCTCGAGAACAGGAGGCGGCGCCTGCGGGTTACGCTGGCACGTCTGGGAGTCACGGGCCCCCATTTCCGCCGGCTCGCAGTGTCGCTGCTGCGCGAACTGGCCGACATCTTCTCCAGCGGTGCGGGGGAGGACAGCGGCCTGGTGCACGGCGACACCAGCGGCAACAACGTCCTCATCCAGTGGCGGCCGACCAGCACGGTGCAGGGTGGGGTGGCGGGCGAGCTGGGAGCGAGGTGGATCGAATTCGAGCTGTCCCGGACCCGTCACCGACACCGAGTCACCCCTCCAGCCCCCTCCCACGACGGTCAAGGCCGTCGAAGCCCCACCATCAACGCCCCACCACCACCACCACCACCGCTGCAGGAGTCCACCATGGTGAGGAGAGGAGCAGCCCAAAGGCAAATGGATGGATGAATGCACTCACGGTACAGAAAGCTCTTCCAGGTGATCCAGCCTTGTGTCTCTGTCTGTTTGTCTTTGCAGGAGATATCGCTGGCTACATTTTGTATCGCGAGAGGAATTTGCTCCCTTTTCATCGCGACCCCGTGTCTGCAAGGGACGACCACAAAATACGCGAGCACACACACAGACCATCAGCGGATGACGAGACGGGGCTACAAGTGCTCCCTGCAAAAACGTCCTCAACAACATCACCAGCAGCAGCAGCAGCAGCGGCGGCGCCCACTTTGGTCCTGTGAGTCGGTCGAGCGACACCTACAAACTCTGCTCATTGCTCGTCCACCTGCTCCTCGCCCTCACATGGACCAAATCCACAACAATGCCGGCGACTACTATGGCGCCAAGAGGAGGAACCAGCTCTTCTTCTGCGATCAGGGGGTGTGGCCAGCATTCACGCAGTACTTCAGCAGGCCCCTCCAGCGGGAGACCAACCTGGTGCGACAGCCCATTCGCCTCTCCGCTCCCAAGAAGCCTGAGCTGCAGGCCATCGCTAAGACCATCGAGAAGGCTGAGAGGGTGATCAAAGCCGAGAAGGCCCAGAACCGCCACGACTGGCTGGTGCAGACCGTCGAGAAGGCCATTACCACCATCAAGGACGGCCAGTCAGCCCACAGTGAGAAGGACTACGTCCTGCTCAGGGCGGTGGCCGACGAAGAAGCCGAGAAGGCGCGGCAGGAGGCAATGGCCGAGGAGAGCCGGTGATAGACCTTTCCATGGCCCTTCGCCTCATCAAAGGCGGCATGGCGCCAAAGGAGGCCGAGCGGCTGAGCATCGAGCGACTGCTGGCGCAGGAGATGGTCGGGGGGGAAAGGGAGGGTGGCGCTGCTGCAAATGGTGGTGCGGCACAGAAGGGCGTCTAAACGATATAACCTTATGTCTCTGTCTGATTGTCTGCAGTGGATATCGCTGTCTACATTTTATATCGCGACAGGAACTTCTTTCACTTCTCACGCAGCCCCCCCGGGCGTGTGGGCGGCACCACGGCAGTTGGGATGGCATTGAGTGAGGAGGCCGACGGGTCCATCTCCGCCGACATCGCCAACTTTGGCGACTCGGGCGCCATGGTCCTCCGTCGCCCCTCATCTCGGGAAGGCCTTGGGAGATCCACCGGACGGCCCCTATGGTGGATCCAACCGAGCCCAACCGCCCCCTTCAGCTGGCCATGCTGCCACCCGCCACCAGCAGCGACGGCACGCCCCCCCCCACCCCAACAGCTGACCAGCTGAAGACGCAGCAGGGCATGAGCGTCGCCAGTGTGCCCGTCCAAGACAAGGACTGCATCGTGGTCTTCACGGACGGGCTGAGCGACAACCTATCCCCCGCCACCATCGCACAAGTGCTGTCTCCCTTCGGCCCCACCAAGGACGCCAACGCGGCTGCCCTGTCTCCTGAAGGTGCAGGCCAAGCACAGCTCGCTCCGGGACCTGGACAGTAAGACAAACCAGCATGAGCAAGATTGACACTTCGCCTGAATGAGGGATTTTCCTGTGCTTGTTCAGTTGGTGACTTGCGGTTGTACGGAGAATCGCAGGATCTGACGGACATTTTTGTGAGACAGGAGTTGCGGCAGTGCTACTGCATCGCCGAGGAGGTCCGCACTGGCAGGCGTGTGGCGTGGCGGGGAGAAGTGGCGATGGGTGACGGCAGCGACACATCGTTGCCTACATTTTATATCGGGTTGGTCGTTTGCAGTGACGATGTCTGTGTGCGCGATGTTGATTTTGAATTGACGTGAACATGCGGTGACCTCAGACAGTCATGTGAAGGTCATGTCATCTGAGCACATTCTACTTGGACGTTCGTCAGTCAACCAATCGATAATACATGCGATCAATCATTCATCTCACCCCAATCGTCATTCATCTCATGGCCTTCCTCCTCCCCCTCCTCATCCTCGTCTCCCTTGACCAGTCTGCGCCTCTTCTTCTTCTTGCCGCCCTTGCCACCCTCTTGCTCGTCGTCGTCATCCACCACGATCGCATCATGAGCTGACGACGCTGCAGCAGCAGCTGCTGCTGCTGCTGCTGGGAAAGGCCCTGGCACAACCGCAGCTGAGAATGACCCGCTTCGCACACGACTGAACGATCCATCCAGCACACAGACATTCACACACACATCAGTGTAATCAATCGGCCGTGTAACGTACCTGCATGTGTGTAGGATGCGTTGGCCGTGCAGCTCGATACGGCGGCTGGTCAGAATACTTGACGCCTGGAGTGCATCGAGGGTGAGGGGATCGCTGCCCCGGCTGAAGCGAATCAGCTCCTGGATCTGGCTGTCGCTGAGGATGAAGTGCGCGTACACATCTGATTGATACGCACATGGGCAGAAAGGTTGCACCACACGCTGCGATGATGATCGCGGGGTCCCTCTCATCCGAACGTACCGATCTCGTTTGCGATTTGCTGCCGGAGCGTTTTGAACTCCTGTGTCGCCCGCCGGTCTGTCGGTGCCGACCCTGCAGCGGCACTACTGGACGAGGACTCCTGCATCACCTGCACACACACACATTGACGAAGACACCAACACTGCGAACACATGAGTCAGTCACTCACCTCGTGCACGAAGAATGTGTCGGTGTCTGCGGCGGTCGAGAGTGCCTCGATCCCCTGTGTCACGTGGCTGGGAAGAACCCCTCGCTGACCTGCAGAACCGTCAACGCAACACGACCCTCGATCCTTCGATGAGTCAACGGCATCAGGGTCTCTCCGGTGTGTGTGTTTGTGTGTGTGTGTGTACAGTACCGTTCTGCAGCCGTTGCAGTGCGTTTGTGCCCCGTCGGGTGATGACGCAGTAGCTGTTGGTGCTGTAGGGCGTGTGTGAAAACTCCTCCTGGACAACCGATAACACAGACGCACACACCTGCGTTCGCACAGCTTTGCGGTGGTTGGCTTGCTGACCTTGATGAATCCCTCGAGTATGAGTGACACGATGAGGTGCTGGCAGGTGTCGATGTCGCCCTTGAGGGCCCCTTTCTGCTTGCCCAGCAGCTTCTTCCACTCAGTCGCACACTGCAGAAGCGTATACTGACAAAAGGCAGACCAACAGAATGACGTGCACACATCACGATACGTTCCCATGGCTTCGGTTCGCCTTTCTGACCTTGGTCTCTGTGCCCTGCACCTTGGCCAGCATCTCCAGCAGACACACGGCGCCGTCCTCCACCGCACCCACAGTGATGCCCTCCCCGCCCTTGCCACGACCACCCTTGGCCTTCTTGCCCCCCTTGGCTACTGCTGATGCAGATGCTGACGCGGCTGCCTCTGAGCTGTCGCATGCTGGTCGTTTGCAGACGTCGCACATGCCGCCACACGCCACACCCTCATCGCCGAAGTGACTGATGATCATGCTGATTGATGCACACAGAGGCGACAGTGAGGCTGTCCGTCTGTCTGTATGTGATCTAGTGCAGCTGGTGATTCACTGACCTGCGTCTGCACTCCTGTGCGTGGCAGAAGCTGACCATCTTGTAAAGGAGGTCGAGGCCCGTCGTCTCGTGAAACACCATCACCGAGTGACGCACCACGTCAGAAGGCCTGACGGCCACAGCACACAGCACCACCAACAGTGTGTCCACTTTCGTGTGGGATGTGTGTGTGTGTGCGTGTGCAGGTACCTGTAGAGCAGGAGGCAGTAGGCGGGCCTTCCGTCGCGCCCCGCCCTGCCACTCTCCTGGTAGTAGTTGTCGGGTGACTTGGGCAGCGTGTGGTGGATAACGAACCGCACGTCGTCCTTGTGAATGCCCATGCCTAGACACACACAGACAGCATCATTGAGTGAGCCACATCCACGTACGGGTGGTGTGCTCTTGCCGACATACCGAAGGCGATTGTTGCAACGACGACACGGACAGCACCCGACGACCACCTGATATGTTGACAGTTCGCAGCGTTGTAGCGACCGGTCGGGCATTGTGTTAGATGGCCCTGTCTGCAGACACTTACTGGTGGTGCACTTGCTGTCTGTCGGCGCCATCGAGGTCAGCGTGGTAGAATGCCGATGGGATGTCTTTCGCATTCAGGCCCGCACACACCGCCTGAGCGTCCTTCTTGGACCTGTCAGTCAGGCAATGAATCATGTGTGTAACCAATCGCCAAAACGGAGTGTCTGCTCACTGGTCACCTGTATGGCTGTCTGTCTGTCTGTCTGTGTGGTGTGGTGTGGTGTGGTGTGGTCACTCACAGGCAGTAGACGATGCCCGCAGCGGTCTTGTCGAGCTGCTTGATGAAGCCAGCCATCACCTGCAGCACATCGTCGGGCTGCTTGGGCTTGGCCGCAACCTGAAAGACACACGCCACAAGACGACAGCATGGACGCACCTGCACTCTGTTTTGCTGTTTTTGCTGACTGACCTGGTAGAAGAGGTGGGGCCTATTGCAATGCGATTTGAAGACGATGGAGTTGGGGACCTCGAGGGTCTTCTGGACGTCCTGCACCACCTGGGGCGTTGCTGTGGCCGTCAGCGCCAGCAGAGGCACACTCGGGAACTGTCGCTTCAAGATGATCAAATGCTGAACCAGGGAGGGACACACAACACGTGCACTCACTGGCCATCCAGCTGGGGTGCATGTGTGAGGTGTTCTTGGTACCTGGTAGTCTTGCCGGAAGGAGTGCCCCCACTGCGACACGCAGTGCACCTCATCCACAACCATCAGCGACAGGTTCTTGGCTGCGTGGATCTTCTCGAGGCTGCTCATGAATAGTTTGCTCTTTGCCACACGCTCAGGCGTCACGTACAGGAACCGCAGGGCAGCTTCCAACGCTGCCTGACCGCCCTTGCTGGGGCCGTGCAGCGTCTTCATCCAATCCCGCACCTGAACCAATGGCACTCGTGTCATGCTGATAGGTCGCAGTGTTGTCATTTGGCCGTCCTCTCTCTCACCTGGTTGTTCTCCTCTTTGGAGCTCGACGACGTCATCATGGCTGCGCCGATGCCCAGCGACCGCAGGATCATGACCTGGTCGCTCATGAGGGCAATGAGGGGCGACACCACCAGCGTCAGACCACTCGACCACACCAGCGTGGGGACTTGGAAGCAGAGCGACTTGCCGCCGCCTGTGGGCATGATGAGGAAAGTGTCCTCGTTGGAGAGGATGGCGTTGATACACTCCAGCTGGTTGCGCCGAAACTCACGCACACTGCAAGGCAAGCACACAGAGCAACCCGGAGACCGGCCCTTCTTCCAGCCAGATGGTCTGTTCCCTCGTCTGCCCTTTTACCCAAAGTACTCGTCAGCGATTCGCCTGACGTCAGAGCTCCACGCGTACTCACTGCTCCAGTCACACTTGGACCTGACGGACAGACACCAGTCGATGGTGAACGACAGCAGCGGCCACGTACTAGGTAACGGCAGCCGGCTGACCTCTTGCGTTTGATGTATGCCTCGAGGGCACTCTGCTTGGACGCACGCTCATGCCGCAGCTGCTGCAGCCGGGAACGAATGGACGCCAACTCCTCCTCAGTCACTGCAATCTCGGCATCAAGAGCCGCCACCTGGCTTCTCAGATCATCCATCCCCTGGAGATCACGACACACACAGACGGGAATGCCGCGTGTTTCTTGTCTGCTCTGCCCTCGTGCACCCTCCTACTGTCACCTGGTCGTAGGTTCCCTCTCCGTCGGCTCCATCAGCATCCTCTGCAAGCTGCTGCTGCTCCATCTCATCAGTCAGATCTACCATCGAATCGTCCTCGGCCATCGTGCAACACAACCGAACCTCTCTTTCCCCTTCCCTCTCGCCGTTCCCCCAGAAACGATCGCTTGGCTGCTGCGAGCTTAGCTCATGGGGAGGGCGGTGCTTTGAGGCTTTTCTGCGTTTCTCGTCACTCTTAAATCGGGCTCTCTCCTTTTCCATCCGTCGTCTGTGCCATCTATCAACCGGGGCCGCTGAAATGGCGTCAGAGGGCACAGGAGGTCTCGCTCTCCCACCCAAGAACGAAGAGTAGGCCATGCAGACCCAGAACAGACCCACAATGCCTTGTCAACGGCTCTGTTGTCTGTTCTGTCTTGTCCTTCAGGCTGCGGAAGCAGGAAGAAGAGGCTCTGCACGGAGCCAACATCACGGTGAGGCACACACAAACCGGGCAGACAGAATGGCAGCCAGCACCACTTCTGTGCTGTGCCTTTTCTCCCTTCGCTTAGGTTCAGCTACAGCTGCCGGACGGCTCATCCGACGATATGGTGGTATGTATGTCAGCACCACAGACACGAACAGGAGGCAAAGGGTGGATGTGTGTTGGCTGGCGTGGTTTGCTGCAGCTGCCTGTGAGCAAGGAGGTCGGCTACGTCAAGCTGATGCTCTCACAAAAACTCGAGATACCCTACAACAAAATTGTACGCGAGAGAGGGCTCACCTGGCTCACTGCTGTATTTTCTGTGTATGTGTGTGTGTGTGTGTGGATGAGTCAGTCGTTGTATTTCAAGGACAAGCCGATGATCGACCCGATGTCGTTTTGTGACCACCCGGGCGTCGCACCGCCTATCGTCACTGTCAGAGTCGAGGTCATACACACACACACAGATAGACAGACAATCCACAGCCAACCGTCCGACACACAATGCGCCTGTGTCTGTGTGTCTGCAGATAGCGGAATAGACGGTGGATGGAGGTCTGCATTGAGCTGTCGCGAATAGATTGGTTTTCGTGGACACACGTGTTTTGTTGCGTGCGTGTTGCTTTCGTGTATACCTACTTGGGGATGGATGGATTGGTGGGTGGGTGCATAGTATATGTGTACAGGCAGCCGGCTGATGAATTCGTGTTGGTGACCAAAGGTGGGAGGGAGGGAGGGAGGGAGGAAGTTGGTGTGTGCACGCTGTGCATTTGTCTGAGGTGAGTGTGTGGGTGGCGAGTTTTTCGTGTCAGTCAGGAGGGACACTTGACAGCGCTTCTGAGAATGAAGTGAGTGTCGCTCATGCAGTGAGCCGGTCATGTCATCACACACCACATTAATGTCATGGACGAACACACATTCATTCATGAATCGGTCCATAGACATACACACATTCATACTCGCACACACTTGCATCGCACACACTTGCACCGCACCCATCACCCGGTCAGGTCAGCCCTCTTACTCCCCCCTCCCCACCCCACTCGCTGCTGATGCGCTGCTACTTGCTGCCTGGAGCTGGGCAGGAATCGATCTCTACACACCCTCCCTCACTCCTCTGTAGCCCTCTCCCCTCACCCATTCCTCCCCGCCCCGCTGGCTGCTGATGCGCTGCTACTTGCTGCCTGAAGCTGGGCGGCTCATGACCACATCCACCCACGAACGCACCGCGCCACCACTCGCACCTCCACCTTCTTGGCCAGACACCTCGTCCACCGACGGCCGCCCTGCACCGACACTCTCACTTCCTGCAGAGACGCATGGAAACCTCAGACAGCCCATCAACAAAACTCGTCTCTGCACAGACAGACAGCCTTTGTGCTCACCGGTGGTGTGGTCGTTGGCGGCATTGGTTGCGATCTGAGCGTCTAACATGAGCAACTGCATCGGACACATCATGGCACATGAGGGCAAGTGAAAGTGAAAAATGACTGCATGGATGGACGAGGGAGCAATGCACACACATCACTGACCTGCTGTATGTCGCGAGCGTCGAGCAGCAGACGACAGTCGATGCGACCGCTGGAGGCATGGAGCCCCTGCTGCGCTGGTGTGTTCTCCTTTACCAGTGTGCCCAGTGTCGTGCCGTGTCGCTGCTGCATCTCGCCCAACAACACGTGGATGGGGTCTCTAGGGCCACCGATGCGGTCCTCGGGTGCCTCAGGGAGGAAGAGCTCGAACCGCTGCAGGTCTCGCAGACGGCACAAGGCCTTCACACCGGCAAGGACATCGGCAGCAGGCCAGACGGTACGATCGAAAACTGTGTGAAAGCGAACAGATGTGAAGAAGAGTGACGCACTTGTTGTGTACCTGGCACAAACACGCGTTCAACTTTGGGCAGGTGGGTCAGATCAGCAGACTCGAGGGCGCGGAAACTACGTGGATGAAAGGTAAGTTGCAGCGACTTGAGCGTCCGCCCGCCGCCCATCGCCGTCAGCAACCCTGCTACACCAGCCGTGTCCACTATCGCCTCATCCAGTGAGCTCATGCCGGCCACCGCCGCCTTGGCCGCAGACATGCCCTGAGTGCCCATGACCAACAGGTGCTTGACGCGGGGCAGAGACGCAGGGGGCAGTGGATTGGGGGGGGGGGG